CATTTTAACTGGCATGAGATGGTATCTCAATGTAGTTTTGATTTGCATTTCTCTAATGACCAGTGATGATGAGCATTTTTTCATATGTTTGTTGGCCTCATGTATGTCTTCTTTTGCAAAGTGTCTGTTCACATCCTTCGCCCACTTTTGAATGGACTTGTTTGTTTTTTTCTTGTAAATCTGTTTTAGTTCTTTGTAAATTCTGGATATCAGCCGTTTGTCAGATGGGTAGACTGCAAATTTTTTTTCCCATTCTGTTGGTTGCTAAGGACATATTTTTTTTGTGATCCTCATGGCAGAGCTATTCGTTATTCTCCACTATTTCATTTTTCCTTTAGACATAAAAATCTGGCTATCCAACTGTACGTAAGAGTTGTAATCTCTCCTTATTATCCTGATATACATTTTTGGGGACTTTATTTTTTTTAAACAACTTAAACAGCATAAATTTATTATTTTGGAATTACTATTGGTTATGAGTTCAGGTAAAGATTAAATGGGCCTGCTGCTCAGGGTCTCCCCAGGCAGAAAACAATTTCTTGGTCAGGTCTGTTGTTCCATCTGAGACTCTGGATCCTCTTTCCAGTTAATAAATGTGTTTCTGAATTTAGTTTCTTGCAGTTATAGGACCGATGTTTTCTTTTTTAAAAAATTTCAATTTATATTATATTATATTATATTATATTATATTATATGATGCTGAGGCTTGGGATACAAATGATCCCATCATCCAGATGGTGAGCATAGTACAGAACAGTTAGTATTCCAGTCCTTGCCCCACTCTTTTCATCCCACTATAATAGTCTCTAGTGTCTATTGTTCCCATTCTTATGTCCACCAGTACCCAATGTTTAGCTCCCACTCGTAAGTGAGAATATGCCGTATTTGGTTTTCTGTTCCAGCCTCCATTTACCTAGGATTATATCCTCCATCTGCATTCATGTTATTGAAAAGGACATGATTTCATTCTTTTTTAAGACTGTGTAGTATTCCATGGTGCATATGTACCACATTTTCTTGGTGATAGTGTATATTTACCACATCCAGAAAAACGATTTGACCACTGACCTTAACTAATCATTCTTTATGTAACACTAAACTAACTCTCCAAAAGAATAAATAGAGGCTGAGCATGGTGGCTCACTCCTGTAATCCCAGAACTTTGGGAGGTCGAGGCAGGAGGATCATGGGGTCAGGAGTTTAAGACCAGCCTGACCAACATGGCAAAACCCCATCTCTACCAAACATACAAAAAAAAAAAAAAATAGCTGGGCGTAGTGGCACACACCTGTAATCCCAGCTATTTGGAAGGCTGAGGTAGGAGAACTGCTGATCCCAGGAGGCAGAGGTTGCAGTGAGCGGAGATCAGGCCACTGCACTCCAGCATGGGCAACAGAGCAAGACTCTGTCTAACAAGAAAAAATAAAAAGGAAAATAAATAGAAAATGAATTTCACCTTTGGAAAAAAAGAGGTAACAAAGGTGGTTCAAATTTACCTGCCAACTCGCTGCAAGCGATAAAATATAAAATGCTTTCAGAACATATTTTGAAAAGTATTAATAATAAGAAACTAATTTGGCATATCAAGAGTTTCCACCAAATGGCAAATAAATGTTTGTATTGCCAAAAAATATTACTTTTAGCTTTGAAGTAATCCCAAAATAACCTTGTGTACCTTATATATGAAAAGCCTATAGAAGTTTAACAATTTTCAACCAAAGACATGATAACACTATAATTGAACCTAAATTAGCAATTTGTTTATGTATGCAAAAGGTTTTACAATGTTGCTCATGATTTATGTGTATGTATGTAGAAATGAGTTCATTGCATTTGTGGTTTCTTTTGAGGTAAATAAAATTAAAAAATGGACAAATAAAAATGCTTTTTTACACTTCCACCAACAGAGCACAAACGTTTATTTTTCTTCACAATCTTGCCGGCATCTGATGATTTTTGCATTTTTGATAATAACCATTCTTACTGGTATGAGATGGTATCACATTAGGCTTTTGATTCACATTTTAAAAATTATCGGTGATTGTTGAGCTTTTTCATGTGATTCTTGGCCTCATATATTTTAGTTCAACCATTGTGGAAGACAGTATGTTGATTCCTTAAAGACCTTAAAACAGAAATACCCAGAAATGGAATACAAATTGTCCTATTATAAAGACACAGGCAAATGTACATTCATTGCAGCACTACTCACAATAGCAAACGCATGCAATCAACCCAAAAGCCCACCAGTGACAGGCTGTGTAAAGAAAATCTACATATACACCATGGATTACTATGCATCCATAAGAAAAAAATGAGATCTTGTCTTTTTCAAGAACATAGTTGCAGTGGGAGACCATTGCCTTTAGCAAATTAATGCAGGAACAGAAAACCAAATACTTTATGTTCTCACTTGCGAGTGTGAGCTAAATGATGAGAGCACGTGGACGCATAGAGAGGAACAACACACATGGAGGCCTAGGAGAAGGTAGAAGTTGGGAAGAGGGAGAGAATCAGGAAAAATTACTAATAGGTACTAGGCTTCGTACCTGGGTGACAAAATAATCTGTACCATTAACCCTTATGACACAAGTATTCCTATATAACAAACCTGTACATGTACCCTAGAACTTAAAATGAAAGCTAAATAAAAAAGAAGAATGCTTTTTTTCTTAGATGGCACCACTTTTGTCTTATATTCATATCTTTGCAGATAATTTTTAATTATTTAAATATAGAAATCAAAATGTATAAATTGCATTTCTTGGCTATATATTGCTTGCATCAAAACAGAAGGTGATTATATATTTATTCATTTGGTCTGAGGACATAGACTTTGATAAAATAAGTTGCAGCTTCATACTTATGCTTCGTGAATAAGGTGCAAGAGAGATGTCAAATTATGTTCCTATTATTATGTCAGAAAATGTTATTGATGACAACAAATAGTGCATCCAAAATACGGAATTTATTTGAAATGCAAAAGTTGATTAGAATATGTAAGTGCCATATTTTGGTCACAGGTGTACCAAATATCCCACATGTAATTTATCCTGTGGAATTTGGAGAGGCATGCTTTTACAATGACACTATCTTCCACTAATTTTCCTGCTCTTCAGAGTGAAGACACTGGCCTGGGCAAACCATAGCCTGGTGACTGGCAGTCTTAGAATTGAAACACAGCAGTTACTGTGATCTGTGAAAGAGACACTT